CCATCATTGCTTTCAGTGGTGAACGACCCTACAAATGTGACATCTGTAGGGGTGCTTTCGGGCGTAAGTCAGGACTTCGTCGTCATAACATGTTAAAGCATTCGAATTTTGTTTATGAATGTCCATATGAAGAATGCAATCACCCTGGTTTTAAATGTTCAAAGGTAGTTGTTTGTTAAGCAGATTATCTCCTTCCTAATTCTCAGACATCACACACTTTAAATTCGTTCTGCATTCGCTCCAGTGTATGTTATTCGAAAATGAATGTTACATAAAGAGGTACATATCTAGTTTGTGAAATGATCAAAAGTGAAACAGTGCAAAGCTACTTTAAATATACCCCTACACGAAGAGCTCTAGACAAAAGCCTTTAAATCCTCACTCCCCGAGTACATCCTGCTCTGCGAGCAGTTTTTTGATAAAATGATGGTTGTGATAAACTGGTTGGAGAAAGCGGTTTTGATAAAGCAGCTTTTTGAAAAAATGATTTGGAGAATTTTGGAAAGCACTAATTCACACTCTTATTGTTAATAGATCAAGAGTCATTCAACTGATGATGCGCAATCAAAACTAAATTTATGAGAATCACTTGATATTCATAGATCTATAAATTATCTTATTATCGGGTGCGTGATTAGACTTTTGATTAGAATATTTTATTTTTCATATTGTTTAGAACGATCATTAACCGCACAGTGGTTAAATAGTTTAGTTTTACTTCACGATCAGGACTATTGTTTGCAATTCCAGGAGTATGACTCTTCAGTCAGGATTCCGATCGCGGAATTTATATTCTGAAAAATCTCGAGATTTCAGGATTCAATAAATCACCGCATTTTGAATGATTTTGACAGTATATTCGTCCTGAATTACACACAAATCATTCCGCTTCCATTCACATTCAGTGATATTTGTTGTTTACCACCCAGTGAAAATAAATAGATCAATGATCACATATTAGCGCCATCTCAAATTTCTTTTTTCTTAGGAAGCAATGAAAAAAAATTCGTAATATCGTCACTCTTGCTTTCTTTTTCGTCTTCATCATTGCTTCGTATTCTGTTTATGATTATCTTGCAATTTCGGGATTGAACAATCCAGACACTGATCCTACGATCCAATCCAGATCCCGAGACTAAAAAATGGTCGGGATTCTGTAAATACTAATCAGGACGGTGTAAAATGGTTGAATGATTTTTTAATGTGTGATTTATTAAGGCTGTTACTGCTCATGTTCGCTCGGTTCATACACACATACGCCCGTTAGTTCTGCACAAATTCGTTTGTTATGTTTACCTCTTTCGCCTCATACCATACGTTTGCCGATTGATAAGAAAGTTTTTCCGATGAGGTACTCTCGGAACAAGTTAACGTAATAACTCTCGCTGCATCCTCTCATTTTCTTGGAGTGATGTATCATTGTGAATTTTCCCTCACAAGCATTAACCAACAAGATATCAACATATCATCATGCACCGCTGCGTAAATGATGACAATGAGTGCATTGATGGTCAATGTGATAAATTGAATTCGTGATGGGTACACAAAACCTCATTGACAATATGTACTGTTTTTAATGGTAAAGGCATTTAGCGATACATTGAGTGATCTATTTCACAGAAATGTTACTTGAGAATTTTATGGCAATAAAGTATCGCTACCTACAGATATAACTGTGAACAATGTGGAAAGGCATTCGTACGGCGTAATGATTTGCGGAATCATGAAGCATTGCATAGCACATCGTTTGATTATGTTTGCGAAATCTGTGGTCAGATGTTTAAACGTCAAACGTATTTAAAGAGACATTCCAAAACGAGGCATCACGTTCCGTAGTCATCCTCACCTCAAATAATCTGACTGTTTTTATTCCTATCGATAATTTTCATTTCGATGTTGATTCATATCGATCGATGTTGTTTTTAATGTATAAATTGATAATTGAAAACGGTATCATTTTTATACAAAGTAGCTAATGATTTCATGCCTTCTACTGAAAGTAGTCTGTAAAGATTCAAAGATGTGTGCACTTAGTGGACATAAAGATTATGTATTATTGGAGTATCAATTTTTTTCCATCCAAAACTGACCAAACCAATGCTTAGATTATAACGATAAGTTTAGACTCGTAGTTTCGGATGATTCGAATGGGAAAAAATGACGAAAAAGCTGCTTTCTTCAAACACAACTTGATAGTGTACAAAGTTAAATGATTTAATGTATCATTGATCTGAAATTAACTTTCAAATTCACCTCTGAACTGCAAAGATTTTTGGGCTCCATCCTTTATCTTTCCCTCCCCAATGGATACCCCAAGGACTATTAACATTAGTGGTGATCTCGTTGCTGTTTTACAATAAGTTAGAGTTGTCATAAAGTGAAAAGTCACACGTTGCATATTCCTTTGATATTAGTGCATGTTCCTTCTCAAGATCTAGTGAGAACCATGAGAATAAGTACGTTTATAGCAACGAATATGTGTGAACATAGCATAGAAAAGATTCCATGCTAACGAAAAAATATACTGCCAACGAAAAATTCATATTTCCGTATATAAACGTGCATCCCTGAAGTTATGCCGCATGATTGCATTATGTCGTCAAAATCTGTGCATTGAGTTTTTCTATTGATTTTTAGACACATTAGAGGTACCTTCTTCAGGCCATTAGTACACTCACCTATTCTCCAAAATCTCTTCATTTGTTGACGCCAATAGATAGAGAAATTTGTTCACAATCACAACGGAGCATTTACTGTCGACGGATTTTGTTTCGCTTCAGCGTTAGAGCTAAATGTCTTAAATCACATCCTCACTATGGAATTATCAATAGTATTGTATTCGAGCTAATTTCAAGCTCAGATTTGCACAATAAATCTGTGGTCTCCGTGCATCTACAAAAACACCATAAGCCCATAAGTGAAGCCCCAATGATGTTTTTGCAACTTTTTCTGTAGATCAATGTAAATCTATCATTCATAAACGAAACACATTTGAAGTTTGGCTGAGGTGAATAATTTAACAATCTTGGGAAGGTTCCAGGTTGACAATAAAATAGCTCTGAAAGTGATCTGTGTACTCATCTCAAAGGATGAATTAATTGCATCCGGTTGGAATATCTTATTCTTCTGTTTTGAAATATTTGATGATGGCCTTTCTTGGGTTATTTCTCGAAATATATCTTGGAATGGAATTTCGAAGTTAGCCACTCACTGCTACAAGTTAACAGTAGTTTTGAGTGATAATCTCAACTCGTGGGAAGTGAAAGGGGCTGCATCACGAAGGATATCTGGCCTAAAAAATGGTACTGCTGAGACAAAATATGTAGAATGCAACTGATTGTGAAACAAAGTCTGTTTTGACAAGAAAATCCTGAAGAGAAAGAAAAAGAAGATTGGAATAGAATCATTGAACTATTTCGTGACTTATTCTGGCTAATTCGTATTTCATTCATTATGTTTGTCTCAAATCACTCAAAGTTGTGAATCTCAACTTGGGATTCGTAATTGGATTTCGGTTAATAAAGTATTATTATGGCGTTTGCATTGCGAATAGACAAATGCAAGCTGCAGAGAGCGAAATGTTCGTCTCAGAGTGTTTCTGCGATATGAAATGGTTTTTCGGGTTGTTGGCATTCATCCACTGCAGTCACGCAAACAAACAACAATAACAACAACGATAGACGATAGGGAAATGCAGTGGAACAGAGCACGGTTTCATGTGCGACTTCATGTCTGGAGTGCATCGGAAACTGACCTCTTCCCTCGGAACTGATTGCTCCTAAGAGTCGATCCATCACTTACTTCGCCTCTGTGGTGGTGTTTGTTTCTTGTTTTATCTTAGAAAAGGCCTTAATCGAACAGAACTCATCTATTCATAGCAGTTCATATCAACCTAATTGATCATTTGATCGTGTGAATATTTCAATATATTTTGAAATTTTCTTCGATTTGCTATGACCATACTGCGATATCATGCTGTTTACATCAGTAAAAATCGATTAATATTCTTTTCTGCTAGTGCCTCTTAAGATTCCCACGAAATCGGTAGATGAAAAATCAGTTTCTCTTTGATTCAGGTCGTCGAAGTTCAAATTTTTTTAGAAGTTTAGCGCTTCAAGCAAGCTTTTTTCTTTCATGAATATGTACAGCTGCTTAACAAAATTTCCGCCTTCACAATCGTTGTGTTGTGTTATTGTTTTTAAATTTGCATCTCTTGTCTTGCGGAACACAAGTGGGTGTCGGGCGATGCTGTTGTCCATCTTTCCTCATGATGCATTCGACCATCTTACTTACTTAATTACTGTAGAGTGCCGTTAAGGCGACTTCACTGAGTTGCGTCCTCTCATTCGGCCATCGGAAATTGCAATGTCATGCAATCCAATGATCGAACTGCTGCAAGCCCTAAATTTTATTGTTATCCTAATTTTGAAATGTCGACAAATTTTCGTCATGACTGTGAAATATTTCGTTCGTTATTCAAACAGATCAAAACCGAATAGTATATCCATTGCTTCAAACGTAATGATGTTCGAATTCACCTCGAAAAATAATCATTTACCCAAACAATCATCTCAGCATGTGACCATACAAAATATCTATTGCCTATGATGGAATTCCAGTGAAAATAATATTTTCCTTGTTCACAATGAACATTTAACAATGAGTTTTTGTTGCATTCCAGTAGCTGGAGATGGAGCTTATTTGGAAAACACACAGGAGGAACTCTTTATTCAAATCAAAAGATATGAGAATCAAATATTGTGGGCAATTTGCCCAGTAGTTGGTTCCTCCCTAAAACATTAATATTCTGTTTGCTGCGTTTTTTTCTGAACAATTTATCAGCCAAACTCAAATTTCATTGCGACATGAATGTATATTAAAAATGCATCAAATATTTCACCTAAATTCGATGCGTAGCGATGCGTATTTATGTGGTAATGTGTGCTGCTGGGAGTGAATGAAAATATTGCAGAATTTAGTAGTTGTACCCAGTAAATAATATGTCATTGTCGAGCAATGATGACTGGGGTTGTGTGAGTGAAGAAGATTTATTCATATCATGCGGATCAACGAAATCACTCGATGAATTGGTCGAATCAATTACATCGTCGAACAGTGTCGATAATCATATCACCGTGAATCCACTCAATTTTCCACTTTCTGATGGAAGTCAAAATATTCAGGTTCATCGAGATTCCTTGCAACACTGCATTTGAATCAATGATATTTTTAAAATGACATTAAATTGTGAAGATTTGTTGCATATNCATAAACATTATTGTCCGTCAACTGATCAATTTGAAGGTAGTGCCTTGTGTCCTGTCATCAACGGTGCCGAATCGTTGTGCTCCAAAAATCTTGAAGAAACGAGGTGTAATATACAGTATACCGAATGAACGTGACCGTCGTAACTCACTTAAACGTGTCACCTTCGAAGTGAATATTATTGACTAACTTATCAAACCTTCTTAACATTGTAATGGATCGAATTTAAATACATCGACCAGAAGTGAATTTCAAATTGAATTCATTTTAGGACCAGTCGTTTGATAGTTGTCAGCAATTCAGTTTTGTTAATTTTCACATAAGGATATCATTGTTTTCCTTCAGAATGCTTCCTTTCATCTTCAGATCATGACTGAATAATTTTCATCACACTGGACTGATTCACTAATTAATCGATAATCATTTCCGAATGAGGCGAATTCTTATTCCATTTCGTCTTCTGAAATTGGCATTTGTATTCATCTTCAGAAACAAATAATTTCTTTTAAATCAGTTCTGTTCCGATAAAATACTCTCAAATTTGAAGAACGGTTCAAGTCATCTCTCGTGATTTCATAACATAATGAATTTCAGGTGGAAAAATTAGCAGCTGATGAATGCGAGGACGGTGTGGAGCGAGAGAATGGCCGTGCACGCCTTGCCGTGCAGTTGGGTGCACGTGCTTCAAAGAAGGATTATTTAAATTATAAGGCGCTCAAAGCGGTGATACACGCTTCAAAAACAGCGCCATCCACGAATAATAACGATAAGCTATCAGCGTTGACCGCTCTCAAGAAAACAACTGCCATCAAAAAGAAAAATGCCAAACACAACAATCAAAACAACAGAAAATTCCATAAATAAATTGAATTAAAAGCGCTGCGCGCATACTGATGTCGATATACCCGAAACCATTTGACATTTTCAAGGTGTTCTCGTGCACCAACATATGGTTTTTAGTTGGGTATTATATCGCTTTTATCCCTCTCTTATTTTTTTCCACCAAAAATTTTGTCTCTTTGACCAATTCNCCCCATGATAATTCGTTCGCAAACGAAATGTTTATGGCTGGTCCAATCAATCCGTAGTTAGCGAAAAAACTTTTCTCAACTTCTGTCAACTGAGTCCATGAAAAGAAATTACCATTAGCAAACCATCATTGGTTTCTATCTGTCCCATTTTTCCCTTGTATTCTTAAATTTTTGATTTTACCAGTCGGAAAAAACTCATCATTGAAGCTATGATTTTTTGCGAAAAACCATAGGAATATCGTTTATTTTCAGTGATCAAGTAATCTTTCTTCACTTTTCTTCAACAATTATTTTATTGCCTTTCATGTGCAGCTGTCTTTTTCGTTCGATTTCATCATTAAACTCAGAAAATTGTCATTTCTTTGTAATGTACCATCAAAAAAGTTTCTAAATTAGTTTCCTCCTGAGAAGGCATGTGTATCATTGGCTGCTGTAACAATCCTTCTTCATTCATTGAAAATTAAGGCTTCGAAAAAAATTGGAACTTTTATTCTGTGAAAATTCATCTTCCTTCAACTTTATTTCATCCATTTTGTCAATTTATTTGAATTGCATATGGAACTGAATTCTTTTTCAATCTTTTGTCTATGTTCTATTCTCTTTCATTCATCCATGTGCATATTTTTAGTAATTGATGAATTTGCTGAAAATTTTGGTGTATGTATCTTATTAGTGGCATGCAGAATTGGTGTTTTTACGAGGAAAATTTTTTTGGAGGAGAACTTCTAATTTGATTCGTGAATGTGACTGAGAAGTGGACTGCAAATGGGTTGTATTGTTAAGCGAAGAAGTATAATTTTCGGATGTTTTAAATGATCCTTTTTGTTCCAACAATCTGATTTCGTAATTCTGAGCGTGTCCACTTCGGTAATTTCAATGATCAAGCTGTTCTATCCGTAGCAGGTTTTATTTCAGTTCGATTTGATCAATTGAGTTCTAACAGCATTTATCATTCAGTCATTTGAAGTTGATATAAGTAATGTATCGAATATGGATTAGTTGTTGTTCTTTAAAAATATGCTTGTTTTATGGTACAAATTTGACGTGGCTTAAGCGTTCAAAGTGCATGTAATATTCGAATTGCTGAACATTTTGGTGTAAGTCGAGATTCGTTCAAAAAGTGATATTTTGCGAGAACTTTCTAAGAAATTGTTTAAAATTAAAAATTGACAGTGAATCGAATTTAGAGTACACGTACGCATTTCAGGAGGCTCATCCAGGTGATAATTTAATAATAATGGTAATGCTTAAGCATCAGTATTGCACAAGTATTCCAACTGATATGTCTTAGTATTACATTTGCTTTCCGAGAAGAAAACGTCAACGAACACGCGGGCGTGTGCAGCATCGGTTTTAGCCGAGAATCGTTATCATGTGTTATCTTATCTCTTATCATCATCATAACATACATACGTGCTACCTATTACACCATCTTTGTATATATTTTGTCTAATGCTAATGATAATTTTCATTCAGTTCGTAATTGGTCAAGTATTTTTCACTTTTTGCGAATAAATATTGAAATCATTTCGTATTCAATTGTTTCTTCCACATGTGCACTCATATACTGTATACCAATTCAAAGAATAATCAAATATTATNATAGAAAAATCCTCAATTTTATGTAAGATGATGTCAGATATTACAGGTAAACTATTCCTAACGATGTGACAAGTATTATAGCTTTTAGAACAGTGTTTGAAGGGATGTTATTGTAAACCCGTGCTTAATGACTCCCCCCCCCCTGACCGCATGGAAGATTGGCACTTGCCTGCAACGATCTACGTCAGCACAATTTCCCTCCTCTTCAATCTGTCACTTCTCAGGAAAGAATCGCAATAAATTCGTGACATTATTCGCTATATGAAATGAATCAAATGAATTCCTTAATAATTCTTGTCATCAAACAAGCATTCACAAGAAGTATTGTAGAACTATGAAGAAATGGCAAACCGAAATGACTGACACATTTGCTCAGTTCCTCTTTCAAACCCTTGAATTTTCCTCTAATGGGGAATGTCCTGCACCCGCTCTAGGGACTAGTGACATGGTCTTGGCGTGTGGGATTTCCACATGAGCAAGATATACTATAAGTGATGAACTTAATGAATACACGAAAACCGAAAAAGCTGCGATATTCGTTGACCGGCTGAAAAAATACTTTTGCTCCGCTAAAAATATTTCGCTGAGGCGCCGCAGACAAAAAACAGCGAAAACTATTTACTAAAAGTGTTGCTAATCGAAAATAAAGCTTTAATTAAAAACAGCGCTACTCAGAAAAATTAGTCCGCTAATCGCTATTTTCAAACCCCTTAAAATTTGCAATCGCACTGCTAATTTATCCGGGAAAAAATCTCATTAGGCCATTGAACAGTTGAAAACTTTCCTTTCATCACTCAGCAACATATAACCGTTCCAACAACAAGCACCAGTCAACAATAAAAAAAGTTCAACAATTAGAAAATAATCAGCTGACGACAAAAAAAAAATCAGAGATGAAAAACAGCACATAGCAGTGACCCTCACTGCAATTTCTCATTCCCTTTCAAGAATGTCAGCACGCAGAGCTTTTCGTCTAATTGTAAGAGCTTGGATCGTTTGCA